GTAGCTATAGGAGATAATTTTTTAAAAGGGTATTTATTTATAATAAATAAGGTATCAACCTTTGCTATATGAGGTAAAATTTCATATAATATTTCCCTAGAATACATAGGATAGGTAGGGCCGGGTAAAAAATGGTTCCCTCTTGCCAATAAAGAAAACCTTCGTAAACTCATCATTTCTATCGTAGTGGAGGTTGTTGTGAGGAGATCCTTGTGCCAGTGAAGATTGCTTCCAACGATCGGAAAATCAAAAATACAAAAATACAAAAACTATTGCTATATTTCCTAATATTTCACAATGTTATACAATGTATTAGTTTATATAAATTTCACAAGTTTCTATAAATTAAATTTATTTAACTAATTAAATATAAGTTTTATTATTAGCCTTTTTAAAAATACTAATATAGTTAAGTTAACCATAGCAGATAAATTAAAGTCTATTTAAAGTTTTATTTTTAAAAATAAAAAATTAAAAGAGGGAGTAAAATCATACATTTTAACCAAGTTATAAAGTGCTAGGGTTGCCGTCAATTCGTCCTTTTATTTTTAGCAGTTCTTCTTCTAACATTTTGTTTTCATCGGTGATCTCACATGAAAGAGAGTTTAATTTAGTGAACTACTTATAAAGACAAAAATCTTGTTTTACTTTGTAATTTTCTCTTATTCAATTCTCAAAGAATGACACATTTTTTTTAAATTTAATGTAGAGTCAAACTACCACAAACAAATTTAAAAAGAGAGGAGTAATAATTAAGGTCTAATATTTGAAACTCGAATACCATGACTAGCTAATGGAACGACAAAATTCAGCAGCAAATTGGGGAGTGAAATTCTAATTGTGGGGCAGGAAAATGACAGATGAAGCTTCTCAGTTATATATGAAGATGACTTAAGCGTCAACGCGTAGCTGGCCTTGACTTTAATTGCCTCAATGAATTACAAGGCAATTATCTTCATTGTATATTCACTTTCAATAATCTCACTCTGAATCAAAGCCTTCCAAGAATTGCCACTTCAGGTTAGTATTGTTTGACAAAAAATATCGATCTTGGTTCAACCAATTATATTTAAATGAAGGAGAGTTAATCTTAGTTAAAAATAATATCCTAAAGATATAGTTGTCGGGATCGTGTCAAATAACTAGTATATATATCTGGATGGCAGTGAGTATAAGCAATGATAACAATATTTAATGATCCAAAAAGGTGAAGTGTGCCATTCAATAGTAATAAATAGCAATAAATTGCATTTAAGTAAATAAAACGTGTGAGTCACCCGAAAAGAGATGAGATCAGTGAATATTCTTTCTCACAATGATGAATGATTGATAATCCTTTGAGCATTTGGGTTGTTCTTGGATCCGGTGGAAATGCTAGCCAAGAATCTTGGTAAAAAGGTTGTTTTTGTATATATGCGATAAGACCAGATCCTTTCTTACAAAGTCAATGTACTGTTTACAAATAAATATCTCTTGTCCCCTATCATTATGTCTCTTTCTATTTATAGGGAACATCTTCCTACAAAACTCTAATAGTACATATGCAGAGAATATTCACTAGAATAACGCTAAGATGCTCGACCTCGACCTTGGTCCATGATGATTTCACGACACCGCATCCTTCATTGCTTTGAGGCTACTTCGCCCCAAGGTCGGTCTTTGTGGGGTCATCACTGATAGCACGTGCCAGTCGATGAGAGCTATAATAGTGCTGACGTGGCTTGCCCATATCAAAGACATTTTTTAGCCTATACAGTTAGTCCCTCCGCTCATTGAGGTCGTCCTCGCGGGCGAGGTCGATGAGTGGGAAGTGTCGTTTGTAATCTAGCTTTACCGAGCTAGCTATACAGGTCGCGGCGAGAGGACAACGTGGCTTTTTGAGGGTCGCACATTTTGAATTCTTTGAATTTCTCGGGAAGTTCGTTGGAGCCATCTGGTCCAAGAGAAAAGGTGACGTCATGACGTCATGTGTCATAATGACCCCGTTTTCCGACGTGTCGCATTGATTCAAGTGTGACCCTTGATTGGTTCTTTCGTTTCAATCTTCGTGCTAATCATGGCATGCTGTTTCGATTCTGGTGCCCCCAAGTCTTATAAATAGGGGATGGTTTGTTAATTTTGAAATCTTTCCAAACTCCTTGTACTTCATAAGCAGAGTTTCTTCTCCATCTCCTTTGCAGAATCCTTGTAACTTTCTGCTGTTTTCTTTGCTTTACCATTTTTTTATACCACAATGTCTGTCCTACCATCAGATATCCATATGGAAGACCACTCCATTCCTCTAGATGTTGTTTTTCCCGACAAGGGGGAGATGGCGGAACTGTCGCTGAGGAGGAAAACCTCCCTACTATAGAGAAAATTGTACCTCGATGTCCTGATGCTAAACCCGACTTCCAAAAGGCGCCGGAAGTGGTGACAAAGAGGTTTAAATCTGCGATGACAGCTGAGCGATTGACCGAACTCAAGGTTAGACTCGGCCTACCTGGTCACGTGGACTTGATCCCTGCAGGCGACGACAAGGTTAGGGTTCACCGTCCTGGCTTCTGCGCCCTTTACGCATACCCGTTCTTAATTGGGTATTCGTTCCCTTTGCCACCGTTGATAGAAAACTTATGCCGATACTATAAAGTATGCCCGGCGCAGCTTGCCCCTTATATATTTAAGGTGGCCATGAAGTTGATTTGAAATTTTTGGGAAAGCGTACATCATATTGAACTGCACTTTCTTATTTAACATTTTGGGATTGAGACGTAGTAGTGGTTATTTTTGTCCTGTAGTCGCTGTCTTTTTTAAAAGCTTGAGCTATGCATTCTCACACTGGAGCCAACTACTTTTTTCGGTTTCTTTGTGGGGCGGGGCTCTCTGGGAGCCAGCTATAGTAGGCTGTGAGTCCTATCGTGATGAGCTGAAGGACAATCAAGTTATCTATGCTGAGTTCTGGCTGCTTTGCGGATAAGAACGTGAACTACTAACAAAGTTCTAGCTTTGGGTGTTAAAAAATTATCAAGTATGTGAAAGTATCAGCAAAGAATCTTGCTGGTAAATGCTTGTCATTTATGTGAAACTATTGTAAAAAAATCAGAAATATGCATTTCTTTCCTCTATTTTTTAGTTATAGATTAGTTCTGTTGCATATACTGTACTTTAGTGTCTCGTTTTAGCAGTTTGGGATTGAGATGTAGTAATTTTTTTTCCCGGTCGTTGTAGTCGTGTTTAACAGGTTTCACTGGATTGTGCTCGAGTTGAGTCCATCCTGCCTACTGGATGCCCCTGAAGTTGGGGCGGGGATAGCCCATCCCACGCCTGATGGTGTCTAGAGCTTTCCCTATTGAATGAGCAGGAGCCAGGAGCATATATGTAAACAGGTACTGTTTTCATTTGCACTGTTAATGCAATTAGTGCTGATCATTTGTTAAAGTAAAGGCCATTTCAAGTAGCAAAATCTGTACTGACCTTGAAACTGGTTTCAATATCTAGCTTCAACTTTTTTTAGCTAGCCAGCAGCTTCATCAAGTGAAGGACTTTCCGGTGGATGAATGACAATGTCATCCACAACACTAAGGCGAGGGTGAGCACCCAAGTGCTGCTCAAGGTTTATGCGTTCATAGGCAGCAGCAGCAGCGATGTCTACCACAGTTTGATGCAAACGGCAGTAAGTAGGGCAGCATGTGCTATATATCATGAGCAACAGATATGATATATGAGTGTAGTTTACACTATCTTGATCGTGATCTTGAAATATGTTCATGATGTTACAGTTTTTTCTGCATTGATTTTACCAGCACGTTGAATGGATCCAAGAACTTGTTTGTCGCGTGATTCACATAAGTAGACCTAGCAACACTGATCGTATTACAGTTTTCTTCTTGTCCTTGCACATTCTCAAGACAAAGATACTAACATCAATTCAAGGTGATGTTGAGCTTTAAGCATCTTTGAGATATAGCCTTTTCCTATGCCATACCATTTTGTAAAATAACATGCAAAATGGTAGGCCTGTTTATAGTTTTAGTACTTCTAAACTTTCTTCAATTTGCTATAATCAGAGTTGCTGCCTCATGGACACTCTCGCGTGAAATTAATACAATCGCGCATTAATAGGAGTTGCTGCTAATCAGAGTGCTAATTAAGTATAGTCAGTAAGACTTATAGTACAGTTAAGTAAGCATTCTGATAGAGCTAGCTAGCCCTGTTCCTATATATCCTCTTCTCCTGCTTCTTCATTGAAGCAAAAAGTACATTCATATATAGCCAAGGCCCAAGTGTTTAGTTTGATCATTTACTTTCTCAGCCCACCAAAATGGCACAGAAGAGTTCTTCCTCTGCTCATACTTTGCATTGGAGTTATGTTTTCTTAAGTTTTAGAGGTGAAGATGTACGCAAAATATTTGTCGACCATCTCTACGTTGCTCTGCAGCAAAACGGTATTCATACTTTCAAACAGTGGCGGACGCACATGGTGGTAAGCGGGTTCAATTGAACCCGCGTCAAAAAATAATATTGTGTAGTTATATAAATTATGATTAAAGTTGCGTAAATTTTGTATAAATATTTTATTTGAACTCACTTGACAACTACTATATATTTTACGATTAAAGTTATGTACTTCTACGATTGAACCCGCTTGCACAAAATCCTAGGTCCGCCACTACTTTCAAAGATGATGAGAATCTAGAGAGAGGCAAGTCCATTTCACCCGATCCTATTGACGCCATTACATCATTCATTTTAATATATTTAATATATAAGATGTCTAATATTATTACTTACCTATATTAATATTGATTAAAAAATTTAATAAAATGTTTTTTGTGAATCTTTATATTTTAATTAATTAAATTGAAAAGCTTAATATTAGTCTTTAGTGGTAAAATTTGAATCATTTTACTTATTTCGTTTAACTAAATCCTACTCCTAGCATGTTAGGGAAAGGAAACGTGGGGGGAAAGCTAGAAAGGAAACAAAATATTTAGGAAACAAAAGTTCCCAAATCCTATTCCCTATCAAATTCGATAATACTTCCATTGTCCTATAAATACGCTATATAGTATCATTACACTCCCAACTTTCTGAAATATCCTTTGTATTCTTTTTCTCAAAACCTAACAAAACTTTTGAGAATTTTTTGTTCCAAGAAATATGTCTCAAGATTACCAACGTCCGTACTACGCTACTCTTACATTACCAAATGATGTTTTTCACTTGCAAAGAATGAACCAACAACAGCCTGATATTCCACATGATCAAACAAGTGGAATATCTAATGATACCAACATGTTTGAATATTGGGAAATAACGACTTACTGTGATCTTGATATGGATATAGATGATGGCGAGGAACGAGCTGCTTGTTTCATATGCTGCTTTGAATTTCAGAATGGAGATGCATTAGTTACACTTCCATGTAGCGATGTGTTTCATTTAGATTGCTTCTATGAGCGGCTGTGGAGAAGGAGGAATGATTGTCCGTTTTGTAGTGCTGAAGTTTTACCTGCACACGAAGTAATAGTAGAAGAAGAAGAAGAAGAAGAAGAAGATGATGATGATGATGATGAGTTCGAGGATGAAGAAATAGTAGTAGAAGAAAAAGAAGAGAAGTTCGAGGTTGAAACAAGAACTTATGATGCTTCTTTAATGGATATAAATGATGAGGAGGAACAAGAAACATGTGCCATATGTTTATCTGAATATCAAGACGAAGATACCATTGGCAAACTTCAATGTGGCCATGAGTTTCATTTTGGCTGCGTCAACAAGTGGCTGCAACAAAAGAATGCATGTCCATTTTGTAGAGCTTCAGTTTTGCCCGCACATGACTGGTTACATTCTTAATTGTGTGAATTCAATAACAGTAGTCATCAATATTGTTGTTACTATTTTTATTTTGTAATAGTTATCGTAATGACCTATTAACTTTTTAGTCTTTCCCCTGTTCTTTTTGGCCATGTAATCTGTTTATACATATCTACTTATACCACAAATGAAGTGGGTACTGACACCATATAACTTGTTTATGTCATCTATAACGCATGAGAAATTGAAAATATTCCTCAGTACCCAATAAAACAATAAACTAAGCATTGCTATATATCCATTATAAAACAGTGAAATAAGCATCGCTTACAGACAACTATACAGTCACAAGAATTACTCCTTTAGCATTCCATATCAGTTTCCTCCCCCACATGTCTTTTGCTTCTATTCAATTATCGATGTTTTTTGCTTCAACAGCAGATAAAGTAGAGTAGACACTGTCCGTTTCATTTACCCCAAAGACAGAGGGATGAAGAAGTTCAAAAACTGCTTGCCCTCTTTTATGGAACATCCCAAGGGCATTGTAAACTTGCTCAAGGTCCTGATTATCTCCATCCCACTTTCCTACGACCTAAAATCAGTGGCGGGGCCAGAATTTTCACTACGGAGACTGAAAATATTAAGAAGTAAAATACCCGAAGAAGCCAAGGAGATACAACATCTACTATATATACATAGAAATAAAATTTTGACCTTGCATACACAAAATATTAATTTTCCGGCGAAGGGTTGCACCCCTAGTTCTGTCCCTGCCTGAAGCAGATGCTCGGTAGCAGCATGGTAGAAATTTTGTCTCAATATCACAGGTCCAAGTTCGAAAAGCTTTGTCGGACTAGCTAGAACCACCACTTCTAACTTGCTCTTGCATTTCTTTGGCAGAAGATCAAACTCTGCGCGGACAAAGACTTGCCTAATCACAAAGAGGCTTCCAACCACAAGCAATGCTAGTAGTAAAAGCAGGTAGTTACATACGCTGGATTCCCAATTCAAACAAATCGCAGACCTCATAAACCATGTTTACTCTGACACCTTCAATTGCTGATGCCACTTTCCCAGATGTCAACCAGAAAAAAGACCAAAATGACAAAGCAGATGGAGAAATAACCTGTCTACTACTTGTAATATCTTCACATTCAGCAACTTCTCTGGAACCAAAAGTGAGAATGGTTCTATCTGCTATAAGGGTCTTTTGTTAGTCTACTTTTCTGATTTTTTGACTGATACTTGGTAATAGGGAGTGAACTTGGAAGCATCAAGATTGAATTTTGTTGGGGCATTTGAAGAAGCATTAGTGACACACAGTGGCGAAACTAGAAATTTTGCTAAGGGTGTTCAATGTTTAATATATATGTACAAGAAAAGTAACTTTTGACCTATATACATAATACAATTTTCTATTTACGCAATATAATTTTCGAATGAAGGGTGTTCAACTGACCATCCTTCCCTCTATGTGGCTACGCCACTGGTGACAGATAATAATACTTCAAGCATAACTCTTCGGAAGAAGTGTTCTCTTGGAAAAAAATCAAAGAGACGGTTATAGGATTTAAACTTTAAAGTAAGCACGGAAGTTTATCTCACGCACAACAATAACAGCAACAACAACATACCCAGTATTATCCCACACTATGGGGTTATCTCACGCACACATATGATAAAATATATTTATATATATGCCCACAGTAGGTCAACAATAACTGTTCCAAAGAGCATATTTTGCACCATATTTCAAATTTATAGCAAAAGAAATCCACAAATCAGAAATCCCGAGGCGAACCGAGATTTCAAGATTATGAGTTCGGAATTCTAAGCGTTTTAAGCTACTGGGTTCTAAATTAATAATTTATATATATTCAATAAACTTTTTAAGACAAATACAAAGTTCGAACCAAAGTTACCGTGTTCCGCCGAACCCGGTCGGAGTATTCTAGCTCCGCCCCCTGCATCCAAGGTAAAAAAAAGGAGTGAATGAAGAGCGAATAATGCTGACCAAACCCATAGACAACGTAATAAAACCAGAATAAAATGTGTGCAGAAACTCCAAACTAGAAATACGAACATACCCGCTCAAAATAAGAAAATATACACATTTTGGCCGATAGGAAAAAGAGAAGACATGCCCATTCAAAGACAAGTTTACAACTTCTGCCCAGGTGGAGTTGTACTAATTAAAATTTAGGGTCCCAACTCCCATGGCTTCTCTGCAATAGTTTATAATTTCAGACTTGTAGCTTCTCTATACAAATTTTATGAAACATGCTTTACTTTATGATATTTGGTGATGTTTTAAATGTGTTACATAAAGTAGAAACATTAATATTGACTATTGTATTTTTTCTTCTTGCAAGTCTTATAGCCTTGTTTGGCAAGTTTTTTTTTTTTTAAAAGTATTTTTTTCTAAAGTTAAAGATATTCGGCCAAGTTTTAGAAGGGAAAAAATAATTTTTGAGAAGCAGAAAAAAATAGTTTTTTTCTAAAAGCACTTTTACGAAAATTACTTTTGAGAATAATACACTTAAAAGTACTTTTTAAAAGTTTGTCAAATACTAGTTAGTGTTCAAAAGTGCCTTACATATTAATTAGTCAAACACAAAATATTTTTTTCATTAAAGTACTTTTTAAAAAAATACTTTTGATAAAAGTACTTTTCAAAATAAATTGATTTTAGAAACTTGGTGAAAGAAGTTACACCGTTAACATTCGAATAAAGAAGAAATTTAAACTTGTGACAGTAATTCTGACTTTTTAACAATTAAATGTTATGTTTAAAGCATGTTCTTTTTTCACTTAATAGAGTACAGGTTTCTAGATAAGGTCATGTATTTTAAGTCTACACTTATCTACATATACCTAAGTTTGGTACATGACATCGGATGATTTTGCTCATGTGTTATGTTAAATTTATAATGTTACTCAAAACGTGAGGGTAATATAGTTCTAAAGATAATCTCTAAGTATAATATATTTCGTATGTAAAAGTATCAAAATCCCACATCTTGGTTAATTTTCAATATTAAATATACTTTTCATTTGTCACACCTCCTTTTTTCCGGGATAGGGGAGTTTTTCTAATTTAAGTAACATTATTCGAAATAGGATTATTTATTTAATCAGAGTCGTCACTTGGAATATTTGTTATGGTGTCCCAAGTCACCGGTTTATTTTAAATCCCAAATCGAGGAAATTTAACTTTATTTTTGGTCTGCGAACACAGAAGACCGGGTAAGAAATTCTGTTAACTCGGGAGAAGGTGTTAGGCATTCCCGAGTTCTGTGATTTTAGCACGGTCGCTTAACAATTAATAATTGGCCTAATTATCTAACTTATTACATGTTTTAAACCTATTGTGCATTTTACTTTTTGATAATTTTTAATTATTTGCTTAACCACTTTTAGTATTTATGAAATTTATTTGAACAAGCTACGATGTCATACACTTGTCGTTTTGGTACACATTGCAAACCGCGCCACGTAAAATGCACCCGCGATTTTCAACATGTTTATGTTTATTATTATTTGAAGTTATGGTCAAGTCGCGTGAAACGCACACTTGAATTGGGGTTTACATATCATGACTATGCCACGGGAACCGTACCCATAGTCACGATGATTTATTATTAATCGCGCCTAAAGCAAGCTACGATATTCGAATATTATTTAATTACTAATTTTGACATTATTGTAAGGTCATGAGGTATGAATATTGTTATGGAGGAAATGAAGTAAACTAATTATGGAAAAGTTGGCTAGCTTGTGAATGCTTATTTATTTTTGGTCATGTGCAACAATTAGCCCATAAATACGCTAGGGAAGTCCAATTAAAGTCTTATAGATATGGGCAGAACCAATTTAGTCACTAAGATAGGAGATCAAAATGAAACTACAGCATGCTAAAATGGAAAGTCATTATTTCATTGAATAAACAAGAAAAGTAACGAATTAATACATATTCATCAATAAAATTAACCATATGAACTATCAAAAAGGACAATAAATTAATCTTAACAAATACTCAACATGAGAATAAATTAATCTTAGCACACTCAGATGCGAACTCGACCATATCATACTCAAAGTTAAATTAAAACAGAGTGACCCAGAACATTAATGAGAAAACAAAATAGAAAGAGAAGTGAACCTTTGTATTGATGATTGTGGATTTAAATTACAACCACTCAATGATTGGATAGCTCTCAACTGGACCCTTCGGACCATGGAAAACTCGAGCGAAAAATTCCAACTTGCAACCTCAATCGCCTTGCAAAACTAACGATTTAGTTGCTATTTTTTTAGCTTTCTTTTTTTGGGTTAATGATGGCTCAAAAGTGGTCAAGGGCTGGTGGCTTTGGGGTGGTGAAGCTGCTGGGTTTTTTTTCGAAAGAAAGACGAAGAAAGAATGACACGAATATAATTTTTCTTAGCGTAGAACAAGCAAAAACATTTCTCTCCAAATCTCTCCCCTCTTTTTTTCCTTTCTCCTCCATTTATAGAAAAAATTTCGGAATTTTAAAATTTTATTTATTTATTTATTTATTTTTAATTAAAAAAAATTTCCACTTTTCATTTTTCTTATTTTTTTAAAAAATAATTTTCCACTTTTCTTTACTTTTATTTTTTAATTTCTTATTTTTTTTACTTTTATTATAATTAAATTCCCACTTTTATACTTTCCTTTTTTTATTTCCCACTTATTTTACTTTTCTTTTTTTTAATTTTTACTTAATTTTACTATTTTTTTAAAAAAAATTCAGCTACCCTTACTTTTATTTTTTAATTCCAACTTTCTTTTATTTTTCAGTTTTTAAATTTTTACATTCTTTTACTTTTATTTTTTAAAATTTTTCACTTTCTTTTACTTTTTTTATTAAACAATTTTCACCTACTTTTACTTTTACTTTT